GCAGGGAGCCCGATGCGGGACTCGATCCAGGGACTCCAGGATCATGACCTGAGCCGAAGACAGTCGCTTAACCAACTGAGCCACCCAGGCGCCCTTCAAGTTTTAAATATTACTAAATAAAATAGAATATTTACAGAAATCAATTTTACTTTACTTACATTACCTATACATTTCTACTTAGTCTTAACCTGAAAAAGTGCTCCCATCTTTATGAATTTCCCCCCTCATAAGTAGTATGGCCATATAATGTATTGTTCAAAGTGGGACACTTTTGAGAAGCACCTTATTAATCACACTGATGCAGCAGACATAAACCAGGATTGTCCCAAGGCAAACCTTACTTATAAAGACATGCTGGATAAAAATCAAAGATTTTTCAAGCTGGAGTTCAGAAGACTTATTTTTAATGAAAATAGCCCTATTTGTGAAAGAGAGGGGACTCCAAAAGGGAGACGATGGACTATGATACAGCCAATTCGTTCTTCTCTGGCCTGCTTGTCTGAAGACCATTCGTCCTCTGCTGCTCAAAAGGGCCAGAGGACAAAGAACTATGAAAAGATGGCAGTTCCACATATGCAAAGAGAAAACTGCTCAAATCAAGGTTCCTTGCAGGTACTCAAGTCCATCCTAAGCAGGTGATTCCCAAGATATACACAGAAAGTAGTACTGAGCATAAATGAAGTTAGGCCTATGCTAAAAACTCAAGCCTTTAGATCATTGTCCTTTAGATCAATGAACTAAGCAAGGGTAGAGCTGATAAACAGAATGACAATGGAGGAAAGGTCATAAGAGGAAAAGGCTACACACATCTATGACTCAGTCTGTAAGATTATTTTTCTGTGCTTGCTATTTCCCCTTTACCTACTCTCTATTTTCTGTCTTTTTCTGCTTGTTTTCCCCTTCCTAATTCTCCTTCCCATCGTCCTTCCATCTCTCTTCCACCGTCATTGTAGAATGATGACTAGTATCTATTATAAGTAGGTATGAAAGAAAAATCTTTAATTTTCTTAAATTGCGTATTTTCATGACTGAAATTAATATTTGAGATTTAACTGTTACAAAATAATTAAAATGTTTAGAAAAATCTTCACCTCTAATTAACTTAGCGTTCATATCTTCATTTACTTTGGCGATATTGACTATCATACGGGCTTGGCTGGCATATCTCAGTGTGCTTAATGTTTCTTCAATGTTGTTGGCAGCAGGACTGATGGTAGCGATCATTGCAGTTTTTGAATTTCCACCCAGACTTTCTTTTAACAGCCTTCAAGGAAAAGAAGTTATAATTAGACTTTGTGTCTACAACAACCTAATAGCAGTAATTATGTAGAAAGCACAAAACAAATTAATAGGATATATAATACAGTATTATACTCTTCACTCACATACCATTCAGGACTTTTTTTTTTTTTTTTTTAAGATTTTATTTATTTGACAGAGAGAGACACAGTGAGAGAGGGGAACACAAGCAGGGGGAGTGGGAGAGGGAGAAGCAGGCTTCCCGCCAAGCAGGGAGCCCGATGCGGGGCTCGATCCCAGGACCCTGGAATCATTACCTGAGCCGAAGGCAGACGCTTAACGACTGAGCCACCCAGGCGCCCCCAGGACTTTTTATTTATTTATTTTAAGTAAGCTCTACACCCAATGTGGGGCTTGAACTCATGATCAAGAGTCACATGCTCTACGGACTGAGCCAGCCATGCACACCACCATTCAGAACTTTTGTGGTATTTGTACTTATTTTTAGATCTCATGAATATTTTGTTTTCCCTTATACTTTTTATATTGTTTCATGAAACAGTAACTGAACCAAAGATTTAAAATATGGTTAACCATCAGATATTTAGTAAGATACCACTTCCCACTCCCCAGACTAGACTGTGAGCTACTTCAGGAAAGAAACTATGTGTGTTAGTCATCTTGTATTTCCAGTGCTACCACAACCTTTAGAAACAGGTGCTCAATAAATACTGAAAAGGATGAGTGGGCATATAAACAAAAATTTTGTTTTCTACAATATGCAAAAGCCTTCTTTTAGAGGAAAAAAGATAGAATGAGACTAAAACACCTATCTTTATTAATACAGAATGAATTTCACTCTTCCTAGCTTTCAAAAGGCACCAAGAAAAAAATCAAATTTTTCCTTAAATGTTTTCAGGTGACAACTACATTCCTATAAACCAATTATAAAGCACATAGCGGTTGGGAGGGCCTGGGTGGCTCAGTTGGTTAACCGTTGACTCTTGATTTCGGCTCAGGTCATGATCTCAGGGTCCTGAGATCGAGCACCGCATCGGGGCTATCAAGTAGAGATGCAGTCCTTATGAGAATTATATATTAATAGCTTATCACAATTGGATATTAAATCTATACAGATGTAATTTGAATGTAATGTATCTGATTAATGAAAACATATTCATTAACAAAAATACTTATTGAACACTTAAATGCTAGTCAGTGGGTGCCACACAAAACAATTTCACTTTACACACATAGCAACATGTTTGGTGGTATCATATATGCTCAAACATTAAGCACTAAAAACATTAAGTATAGTACTAGTTGCTTACACTAATACAGCACATACTATGTATTAAGAGTATTATAGTAGTTATTTAATCTTCACTATAACCCTAAAAGGTAGGTATTGTTATTATCCTCATATTACAGATGAAGAAAGAGACTAGAGCATTGAGTGATTTACCGAAGTCGCAGAGCTTATAGGATGCAGAGCCACGATTCAGATCCACATAGTTTGACTCTAGAATTCACACTGCTAACCACTTGTTCTCTGTCCCAAGGCTATATGAAGTCAGTCTATTGTTCTTCTCCCCATAGTATTCAGTACATTTTATACAATTCTTTGTACTTCAAAAGATACTTGCCATGTAAGAACAGATTCACGGTAAGGAATAAAAACTCTCTTTCGGTTTGCTTGTTCAGAAAGTGCAGATATAACCTTTCCCAATGTGAGCAAGGACTTGTTAATACTCACACCTTCCTGTACACAAGATAAAAACATCTAATTTAAAATAACTGCTCAGCAATACATTTATTTCACAAAATATATTCCTTCCCTTATATGATTACTGAGTAAATATTTTCTTCCATAAACTACCAACTTTCTTACAACTCAAAATTTACTAATTTTCTTTGAAAAGTAAACATAACGAAAAAGTAAAGATCTCTCTTTAAACCACAGCAATGCAGTCTATAAACTACAGATAGAGTTTTTGTTTTTGTTTGTTGTTGTTAAATATATTTAGTTTGCAATCTCCTAAAAATAATGCCCTAGGGAATAAGTCTTATTAAAATGAGAAAAGCCTCATTTTTTTAAAAAAAAGATTTTCTTTTAAGTAATCTCTACACCCGGCATCGGTTCGAACTCACAACCTCAAGATCAAGAATCACATGCTCCACTGACTGAGCCAGCCAGGCACCCCAGAAAAGCCTCATATTTACCTTCAGTCGATCTCCACTAGTTCGAGCTGTGGAGCAGCGCTCACTGCCCGCCAGATCTATCAGGTTTATCCGACTCGTTATTCTGTGATCATGTTCCTCCCCTTCCACAGATTCCGTCTGCAGCAAAAGGACATTAATATAATATGTCATAAGTTTGTCCATGATTTGCTATCGATGTAAGTCTTGAAAGGGAAAGTTATACAAGATTATAAACCACTCATTTATTTTTGAAACTATCCCTTCACAAATGTGTGATCATTTATAATTTATAATAAACATTCAAGAATAGGGGCGCCTGGGTGGCTCAGTCGGTTAAGCATCTGGCTTCAGCTCAGGTCATGATCTCAGGGTCCTGGGATCGAGCCCCGCATCAGGCTCCCCCTGCTTGTGCTCTCTCTCTCTCTGTCCCAATAAATAAATAAACTCTTTAAAAAAATAAAAATAAAAAAATAAACATTCAAGAATACATGGAGCAATGCTTGCATTATGCCAAAATAAAAGAAATAAATTTAAAGAGATAAAAACTCACAACTACCCAATTATATTAAGGAAACAACCATAAATAGAGCAAAAGCTTAGTGTACAAAGGTGTTATTTATCTCAGCATGAGAGGAGCAATTAATACTTATTAATAATAAAAATATTTAATTTATTTAAGTAATCTCACCACCTAACATGGGGTTCGAACTCATGACCCCAAGATCAAGAATCACATGTTCTTCAGACTGAGCCAGCCAGGCACCCCAAAGGAGCTAGGTATTTAAAAGCAACATAAATGGCCCACAGTAGAGGAACTGGAGTAGTCCATGGAATATTATACAGCTATGAAAAATGATTATTTGGTGAAGAATTTTAATTTAATTTAGCATAAAATTATTGAAGATTTTGTAAATTTGTTTAAATGTGATTATAAAACAACTAAAATATTATACACCAAAATATTTAGAGGGGCTTTGAGTAGTGGAACCTATGGCTGAATTTTTAAAAATCTTTGACTTTCTGATACGTTTTTCCAAATACTGTACAATTACCATGTATTGAAAACATATCATACATTAATGTTATTATCATATTAATATCAATGATATAATAAATTAATAATCATATATTATTGAGTTTTCCAACAGTAAAAAAAAAAAAAAAAAATACTGCCAAATATACCAAAAGTCATTCAGTTACTGTGTACACTAAAATCCAATTATGTTATATATTTATGTTATCATATATTTATATTATCTTAAAATAATCAAGAAAAAGAATACCTTGGTCTGGGTCATCACCAGGGTGAAAACTGAATGCGATCGGGAGCTTTTATCATTCATACCAGTAGCAGCAGTCGCTCTTTGTTTATTTCCCAATTCTAGCCAACTCTTACAAGAAAGAAGAGAGGGAGGTCAGAACTGCAAACTAAAATTTATTGGAACAAATTAAGAAACAACAAAACTAAGCATGTTTGGCAACATATACGCACTTTATAATCTGTTTATGAAATGAAATTAATAAATGTTTGTCATTTAATAATTTGTATTCCCATTGTCAGTTTTGCTTCCATCGCAGATATCTGAATCAGGAAATTACACCTCTAAAAGACTATTTCAATAACACTAAGCTGCTATGATAGGCAATTTTTATTTTTACTTCAGAAGAGTAATTCCTTGATTGAAGTTTAATAAACAAAATCAGCTCATAATGAATTAATAAGATTAACCTTCTATTTATGCAAGTAGCAATTAAGGAGAAATATTCTTATGAATACTTATGATTATGTTCTTTTTTTTTTTTTTTTAAAGATTTTATTTATTTATTTGACAGAGAGATACACAGTGAGAGAGGGAACACAAGCAGGGGGAGTGGGAGAGGGAGAAGCAGGCTTCCCGCTGAGCAGGGAGCCCGATGCGGGGCTCGATCCCAGGACCCTGGGATCATGACCTGAGCTGAAGGCAGACGCTTAACCATCTGAGCCACCCAGGCGCCCCTGATTATGATCTTTCTATCTAATGGAAGGAAGATAAAATATAATCAATCTTACCTGGATATCAGAGTAAGAACTGACAACATTCCTATTTTTAAAAGGAAAAAGACAAAATTGTTTTTACTGATAATTACACTTTTATTCTCATAAAATAATCATACTCTTTCAATTACATAATTACTCTCTGAAGACCACAATTGAATAATTCATAGATTATACTGACTCTCAACAGAATCTTTCACTATCTCCATTCTTAAAGGGTAGAAAATGTTTTAATTTTACCAAAAAGTATGTCTTTTATTAATGAAGCAGTTTAGCTCTTAACATATTCAAGTCTAAATCATGAGACCAAAACATATACTTGACATATGTAGGGGTGGGTATGCTAGTATGTATGGGTCTCAACATAATCCCAGATTTATTGAATGGAGCTAAATCCATACCTAATCACTTTCCCTTTCCTTTAAGAAAGCATTTGGAGTGTTGAAAGATGAAGTAAATGACTCTTAGCATGATTCACACTCTCAACACTAAACTCATTTTAGCACCTTCTCCCCTCTTCAGCTTGAAGTAATAGATATAAAAAGCAGCTCGAGAGGGAGCTTAACTTAATGGGGAAAGGGGATACAAGGGAGAAAAATCAAATATTTCACACACAGTATAACTCAGGCACTTTACAGGTGCTGTGAAAGATATAAACAAATACAAAAACAAGCAGCTAACACTCTAGTTGGAAAGAGAGGAAAAATTAATTGAATACTATTAAGGGTAGGAGGTTAGATAAGTATCCAGGCTTTCAAAGTTGGGGAGGCAAATGAGAACAACATTCATTCTATTCATTACTTTTCTCCTCCTTGCTTTTGCTGAGCCAAACACTTACATTGACAAAGCTTCAACATACGGTCCAGAGACAGGATGCTCCCTTACTCTCAGCTAACAGAAGCAAACATTAGCATTATTAAGGGCATAACAAATATTTCATATAAACACAATTTTAAATGATCTTTTCTTCTATATTTGGAGTTTAAGGCAAAGAGATTTGCCTTTACCTGACCCAGAGATAAATATAAAAGTTCTCACAAACACAAATCTGTAAAGCATTGACACTGCTTCAGGATCACAAACTTTTCACAATATGCCACAGTTCACCGCAGCATCAAATATCTTACTAGTTCCTATTCTTAAGACATGCAGTAGCCATTATCTCTAGGCTTTTAAATATTAGCTCTCCAAAATATATTCAGTAAATTTCAGACAGCAAAAATTTTTTCCAGTTTTACACTGTATGTTTTAAACTTTGTAACTAGAAATTTAAAACACTTTTAAGTCAAAGAAGAAAATGCCAAGTTTAAAAAAATTTTTTTTTTTTTAAGATTTTATCTATTTATTTGACAGAGAGAGATACAGCGAGAGAGGGAACACAAGCAGGGGAGTGGGAGAGGGAGAAGCAGGCTTCCCACCGAGCAGGGAGCCCGATGTGGGGCTCGATCCCAGGACCCTGGGATCAAGACCAGAGCCGAAGGCAGACGCTTAACGACTGAGCCACCCAGGCGCCCCCCCCAGGTTTAAGGTTCTTGATGTTACAACAGTAAGCCACGTGATTTTTGGTTTTCTTTTTTTAAAGATTTTATTTATTTGACAGAGAGAGACACGGCGAGAGAGGGAACACAAGCAGGGGAAGTGGGAGAGGGAGAAGCAGGTTCCCCACCGAGCAAGGAGCCCGACACGGGGCTCGATCCCAGGATCCCGGGATCATGACCCAAGCCTAAGGCAGATGCTTAATGACTGAGCCACCCAGGTGCCCAGCCACATGATTTTGAATAAGTCAAGGGACCTCTTTAGATTTTAGTTTCTTGCTCTCCAATGTCCTTTTCAAAATTAAAAATTTTACATCCTTTTAAAGAAAGGACTCTATTTATTTGAGAGAGAGCATGCAAGCAGCGGGGAGGGGGGATGCAAAGAGAGAGAAAGAATCTCCAGCAGACTCTCTGCTGCGCTGAGTGCGGAGCCTGATGAAGGGCTCAATCCCACAACCATGAGATCATGACCTGAATCAAAATCAAGAGTCGGAGGCTTAACCAACTGAGCCACCCAGGTGCCCCCAAGATTTTACATTTTGATAGCAGTTTTTAAAAAAGATTATGTAGGGGCACCTGGGTGGCTCGGTCGGTTAAGCATCTGCCTCCGGCTTGGGGCATGATCCCAGGGTCCTGGGATCGAGCCCCACATCGGGCTCCCTGCTCAGCAGGAAGCCTGCTTCTCCCTATCCCACTCCGCCTGCTTGTGTTCCCTCTCACGCTGTCTTTCTGTCAAATAAATAAATAAAATCTTAAAAAAAAAATGATTATGTATTTGTGGAACTTCCTATTTCACAGAAAATATTATGTACAAGATACCAATTTACTAAATAATCTATTAAGATACATATTCTATAATAACAATACAATTTTTAAACTTCTACTGCTTTTTGGCTTTAGGGATTTAGTGTTTAAGTGGTCCAACTAAATCTTGAAACAAATATTTTATCTTTAATTTTGATACAATATTTGATTTAAAAGAGGCTAAATTTAATAATTAATTTAATTTCCGCTAACAATAATGTTTAGCTTATTTACTATTTATTTACTCATTTAGACTGTAGATCCCAAGCATTTGCTATCATATAATAGCAATTTTATTTATTTTTTTTTAAAGATTTTATTTATTGGGGTGCCTGGGTGGCTCAGATGGTTAAGCAACTGCCTTCGGCTCAGGTCATGATCCCAGGGTCCTGGGATTGAGCCTCGCATTGGGATCCCTGCTCAGTGGGGAATCTGCTTCTCCCTCTTCTGCTCCCCTGCTTGTGCGTGCTCTCTCTGTCAAATAAATAAGGATTTATTTCAGAGAGAGAGGGAGAGCACAGAGGGAGAGTAAGAAGCAGACTCCCCACTGAGCAGAGAGCCTGATGCGGAACTCGATCCCAGGACCCCGAGATCACGATCCGAGCCGAAGGCAGACGCTTATGTGGCTGAGCCACTCAGGTGCCCCTAATAGCAATTTTAGTAAAATTGCAAGCCATATAGATCATCTTGAGAACTAGTATAACTATATGCATTTATAAAAACAAATTAAAAACAAATCATAAGTTGTTTTAATCTTACTGGTTGCTTTCTCTGCCCGTTTTCGCCTTTACAAACCAGAAGGTCATGAATTTTTTCATTATATACTTCAAAAAAGCTCATTTCAAGGTGGTAGCTGACCTAGTAGGAGGAATAGAAACACAGCATGCAACTTATTTTAAAAATCCTTGCATTTTTTGCAAATTATATATCTGATAAGGTTCTAGGATCCAGAATATATAAAGGACTGTTACAACTCAACAGCAAAAAAAAAACAAACAACCCAATTTAAAAACGGGCGAAGGACTTGAACAGACATTTCTCCAAAGAAGATAAGTTCTACTTACTAAGATCTCTCAAATGTTCAACCGTGCAGTCACTACCCTAGTCTAGCCCCTTGTCATGCCTTCCTTACACAGTTTACAAGTCCCACAACTGGTCTCTTTGCATCCAGTTCTACTTCCTTTCAATCCATTCTCCACACTGCAGCCAGAGCTATATTTTTTTTTAAAGAGCAAAGATGATCACTTGACTTCCCTGCTTAAAATCCTTCCATAGCTTTCTAGATTCCTGGAAGCAGGGTGTCATAAAGTCCTTCACAAGCTGAGTTCTGCTGCCTCTCTGGTTTCATCTTTTGTCACCCTCCACTCTCAAATTCCATGCTTAAAGCAAAGTAAACAATTTATAGATTCCCAAAGGCTCCCTACATTCTTGCTTTCAAAGCTTTGCACATGCTGCTCCCACTGCCTAGAATGTCCTTCCGCCTCTTCACCAAGCTAATAACTGCTATGTTTCCTTCAAAAATAAGCTCAGTTGTCCCTCATCTAAGAAAACCTGGCTCCCTCTAATCTTATATATTCTCAAAGCGCACTGTTCTTACTCTATCATAGTATTTATTTTAATTTATTTAGCAGTAAGTTGATTGTACTTGGCTATTTACTGATTCATTCCTCCATTATACTCTCCTAACGACAGGGACTGGGTCTTTTAACTCCATATTCCCAAATCTTGCACAGTATTTCCCCAATTTCCCTTATCATAAGAATCACTAGGGGGAAAGTACGGAAACTATAAATTCCCAGCTGTAGCCCAGATCAACTAAATCAGAATCTCCAGGAGAGATTTTTTTTTTCGCAAGTGTATACACACACACACACACACACACACACAATCAAACACACACACGAAAAACTGCCCCGACACATTTCTGGTAATTCTTATGATCAAGCAAATTTGGGGAAAAGTGATCTACTGCTGGGCAAACAGCGGGTGCCCAGTAAATACTGGCTGCATGTACGAAGGAATAAGAGAAATGGGAAGCCAGTACAGACTTTTCAGGTGTAGGGCAGCGTAAAGAGCATGGCTTTCGAAGCTGAATCTGGGCTCAAACTTCAGCTTCACTACTCTCTGCTTCATGTTGTTCTGAAGTTTATGTCTACTGTCCTTAGTTAAGTCTGTGTACCCACCTGACTACAAACATGTACGGGACATAACTTCCGCATTATAAGCCACTACACATACATAAAAGTAATAAAGCCGAAAAAGCTAGAGAAGACAGAAGAGATGATCCTTCTATCACTGCCCAACAAGGAGAATTTATTCTGCAATTTTGAATCTCCAACCTCTCCTCCATACCACTGTTCCACAGGAGCATGACCTAGAACTTAAAATTACATCTTCCATTATTTCCTTAGTGGTGTTGACTCTGATTTTAATTTGACTGTTTCCTAATCTAATATGAAGGCTTACAGATGAGAACATACCTCTTGAGTTTGTTTTTTGGCTACTTGAGCAAAAAGATCTTCACAAAACCTTGGAATTATTCCTGGTTCTTCACTAAGTCCCATCATCCTGGAAAATACATAATGAATGGCAGGGGTGGGGGGTTGATAAAACTAGTTTTTTTAAAATTCTCTTTGGTGAAATGGGTTGGGGGAGTGAATGGGAAGCAAGCTAATTAAACTGTGTTATTAATATCTAATAACCTAGGCTCTGAAGTCGGATCTTCCTGAGTTCAAATCTTGATCTCACCACTTATTAGCTCTGTGACCTCAAACAAGATACTTAACCCCAGTAAACCTCAATTTCCTCTTCTATAAAATGGGAATAAATAAGAGGTATCTAATTCAGAGAGTTGTGAGAAAGTACAAGCAGAGCCTTTAATATATATATACCATTTATTAGATGACTACTTTTAATTCTCACAATAATATTTACAAAATAACCTCTCCAGGCTTGGGTTTACACAAGACATATTATGTACAGTAAAATGCGCCAATGACACTTACAAAGTAAACAGTATCTCTTGCATAAGCTGAAGCTCAGAGGTTAAGTAACGTGCCCAAGTTTGCACAGAACCAGTATATAAAATGGATGAGATTTGAGCCCAGATCTGTGTGGTTTCAAAACTACATTCTTTCTATCAAAACTACATTGTTTCTCACCAAAGACTGAAACATTCTCAATAACTGTACTTGGAATAACACTTACGTATATGATTTTCCAGAGCCGGTCTGACCATAAGCGAAGAGACAGGTATTGTAGCCTTCAAAGGCACGCTCTAGGAGGGGTACCGCTAGCGTCTCATAAACAGTCATCTGGCTAGCATAGTTGGGATGGCATTCATCAAAAGACCAGAATGCAACATCATAAATAAAATTATAAACTTGTTTCATGTCAGGATGTTCCACAGCTATTTCTTCCCCATTCATGAAGACCACCTGGGATGCTTTTTCAACCTTCTCTCTTCACAAAGAAGCACAGAGAAAAATATAAAGTTACCGTGATTATTTTGAGTATTATTCCATAGAATATAATAAGAACCTCAAAACTAGTTAAATACAACATTCCTCCAGAGCAAGATAATTTAGTTTTATGTGGAAAATGTAGACCAGCTAACGCAATTATAGTGGGTTTCCAAATATAGATTTCCTACAGCTCCAGTGCCACCACTTAAAGGGAAAATGGAGTCCCAGATCTGTTGTCTGAAAAATCATCCTACTTTTACAGGATTTTCCATCTTCCTTTTTCTCTTGAGCTCTCCCTTCGTCCATCCCACCTACTATAATCTACCTATACTCTTCAGTCCAAATCTGGAAACTTTTTAATATATTTTAAAGATGTTTCAGAGGTGCAGATCTATATAAACCTGACATGAAATGCAAATATAATTTCAACAAACTCAGTTAAATATAAGTCTCAATCATAAATCTCTTTGGGCTACTGCCTACTGTTACTGTTAATCCAAAGGTCCCTCCGTTAGATTTTCTCCCTTAAAGTCATGGATTTTCATGTGCATCCTTCTTCCAGCTCAGACTTAGGTAGAAATCTTTCACTTACTTTACATCTGCAGAAAAATATTATCACCTTGTCTGGCCCAGATATCCCTTTTTGCCCCCAACTCTGTTTTAGATCAGAATTTATTCTGGAATCCACCTGCCTCTTCAATGTGACAAGTGCCCCACCACCCCTGTTATCAGCCCAGTTTGCATGGCTTGTCTGATGAGTCTGAACTCAGGTACTTGGTTCCTTTCTAAGTTCTCTTCAGGGTAGTCATCCATCGTGGGGTTTATTCCTACCAGCTCTGTTCTTTCTGTTGCCTCTTGCCCTATCATGATCCTTGAGGCCTGTCTTTGAGGTTTCCCCATTCTCTCCAGCCAACTCACCCTCAGTTCTCTCACTTATCACTAACCCCACATCTTCACGAACAGCCTTTAAAGCACTGTATAACTTACCTTTACTGACCCTTTAGGTTTAAACTAAGGGTTCCTTCCCCCATGGCAGCAGTCACCATATACTCTCACATCTTGCTTAGATATACAACAGAGTTAACAACTACTAACTCTGAATTTTTTTCGCAGTCACCCCACAAAACATTCAAAAATAATTAGATGCCACATTCACATTTTGTCATGTCCATCTTTCTCAGCCCTACCTGTAATCTGTGACTATCTCACCCACAATCACTTTGGAGAGAGATTTTTTACCATCAACATCAAATCTAATAAAGCACTGCATTTATAACTACTATATATCAGTGATGACAACGAGGATGATACTACGCTGGATGGAGTTTTGGAAGGACCTCTTTGGGGAATAAGGGACCTAACAAGTGCTCTTTTTAAGGGAAACACAGAGGAGCCCGCCATACATTGCAGATTTGAAAGCAGACTGCATTATAGACTTAAGTCATTCTGACGTTTTCAAAGCAGCAGATCTAAAGAAATTTACATTTGCAAAAGATGGTGATTTCAATGTTTTAATTTTACACCCAATCATCAAAAATAATGAGGGTTCTACAACTAAACCTAAAATTTCTCCCTACATAGAAATGCCACCACCAAGCTTGAAGATGCATGAATGCACTCACTTTCCAAAGGCACAGTGGAATTAGACACATCACATGTCAGTAGTTTGGCCTTAGATTTTAAAAGGTGTAACATACCTCTTGCTGAAAGGCCTCACACGTATTGCCACTGTCACTTGACTGTTCTCTACTTTTAAGGGGTCTGTTTCTATCGAGGTGTTCCGACCTGTTGTTTCCTCTTCAAGAAGGAGTGTATTTTCTTGTGACCTTTCCTTTTCATTTGCTAGAAGAGAACTTCTTGGCTTTTGTTTAACTTGGAGGCTAGGCACCCTATTTTTCAGTATCGATGCAGCTGGGCTCGAAAGCTGTGGCGTGCCACACTTTGGTGTCCATTTGTGTCCTACAATGTACTTTGTAGGTGTTCTTTTTTCTAAGCTTCCAAATTTATTTGAATTTTTTGCTATATCCTTCCCAATACTTCTATGATGCAAGTTTCCTGTTCCTGGCACTTTGATGTTCAACTTGCTCTGAAGAGGCTTTGTTGCCAAGTGTCCGGATGGAACAACTTTAGTCTGACTCTGGCAATCAGTGGGTGCTCTATTACTTAAGTATTGAAGTGTGACATGTTCATTTGCCTCAAGGAGGGCAGAAAACGTTTCTTTGTGTTTTTCATCAGCCATCATTTCAATGTCTTTTCGGTCTTTGGCTAAAGGTCCAAAAGATGCAACGGAAGAGTCTTTACCATTATTTACAATTGTTACCTTTCTCCTCATTTCCAGGGAAGCACAATCATTTTCTGTTGGGCTTCCCACATTCTGTGTTGTTTTCCACTTTTTCACACAATCTGTTTGAGCTGTTTTCCACTTTTCCACAGATTCTGTTTGAGCTGTTTTCCACTTTTCCACAGATTCTGTTTTAGCACGACGTTGTAACGTAAGACGTGTTTCTGCAGTTTTTTCAGTTGAGTCCCCCAACTCACTGCCACGCAAAGATGATTCTTTGTTCCTTGTAACTCTTCTCTGAAGTGCCAATCTACCAGCAGGGTCAGGGGTAAGAGGTACCTCTCCTGTTTTTTTACAGGCAGAAATCACATAAGTACTATTTATGTCTCTGATTTTATTTGCAGATCTCAATAATGGATCATCATTTTCACATTCTGACATACCCGAATTCAAATGCAGCTTACGTCTGCTACTATGGGTGAGGACATTCAGTGATGAACTCTTTTGGGAAGAAGGTATACCAAGGATATCCCTGTTATTTCTATTATGTGCGGTGTATACTGACATTGTCGCAGCAAGTTGTTTTAAAAAAGAATGTTGGTGAAGAACCGAAGCTCTTCTTTAGACGTTCATTTGACTTCCAGCCATATCTTATGTATCAGTTTCCAATTATCTGCTAAACTGTAAAAAAAAAAAAAAAAATTATATTGTAAGACTATCAACAGGCATTAAAAAATATGAGAACCTTCCATTGTGAAAGTAACTTCCCAGAGAAATGAATACGTTAGAATAAACCACAATCTCCTCCTCAGATACTGTTCCCAAGCAGCTTCAGACAAATCTCTGCCTTCAAAGAGCTTATAATAATTATGCAACAAATATTTACTGAGTCCCTATTATGTGCCAGGCCCTCTGATAGATACTATGGATTTCAAAGACAAGACCCTGTTCCCATTTTCTTAGTCTAGAAGGAATACACAGATTTCCATTATATCAGGACGAAGAGGCCAAGTGACTTAAAAGATATAAACAGTGCATGTCAAAGAAGATATTCGAATGGCCAATAAGCACATAAGAAGATGCTCAACATCACTAATCATTAGGGAAATGCAAATCAAAACTACAATGAGATACCACATCACACCCATTACGATGGCTACTAACAAAAAAGCAAGTATTGGCGAGGACGTGGAGAAATTGGTACCCTTGAGCACTACTGGCGGAAAATATATGGAAGTTCCTCAAAAACACTAAAAATAGAATTACCATATGACCTAGAAATTCTACTTCTGGATTATCTAACCAAAAGAATTAAAAGCAGGGTCTTTTTTTTTTTTAAAGATTTTATTTATTTATTTGAGAGAGAGAGACTGAGAGA